TATTCCATGTATTACTCCGTATTTCACTATAACTTTCCTTAACTTTGTATCCACTCTTTCTTTATCCCTCTTTATATTCTCTAAAAAATCACTATAGCATACTCTGTAATTTTTTCTTCACAAATTGCAAGTCCCGACCGGTGAAGAATACTCCGACCTCAACCAGGCACCAGCAGCCACTCAAGTACTCCAATCTCTCCAAGTTGGTTTTCTTGGTTTTTTTTGTTTTAAATGTGAAGATGTTTCCAAATCCCAACCCGATCTACCATCCCTTGGTGCCTTTAAATTTAATTCCTCTTTAAAATGATTTTTGAATTGAATCAGGAACTGATTTTATTTGTTCATTAGCTTTATCGGAAGATGCTAGTTGTGTCTCCAATTTTTACAGAAATACAGTGGGGTGTTAAAAGGGTTATTTTTCGGTCTTTTTCGGTCTATGTCGATTCGGTCCACATGATTTCGGTCCGGTTCGGTCAATGACCGAAAACATTTAGGTCCGGTCTTCGGTCCCCATTTTTATTGATTTCGGTCTTCGGTCCGGTCCGGTCCGGTCCGGTTCGGTCCGGGTTTGGACCGATGAACAGCCCTAGGAGCAATAAAGTATAGTAAAAAAAATTGATGGATGCAATTTTTTCTTGCTGCTACAGTATTTCTACTTTTTATTTTTAAATATTTTTCTTAAATTTTACGAAGTTAAATTTTGTCAATTAGTTCAAGACGGAGGGAGTAATGTTGATTGACCCAGAATGTTACTTGTATCAATCAAGATCTATCTTTAATCTATAATTATATAAAAAATACATTGTATATTTATTACTCCCTCCGTCGGGAAATAATCTTCCCATTCTACTCTTTTTTCCGTCCGGAATTAATCTTCCCATTCTACCTTTTTTTCCCACTCTTCCAAAAATACCCTCCCCTCCCATTATTTATTTCTCTTCTTCCTTTCTTTTTTCTTCCTTCTTGCCATGTCCGCCACTCATCTATTATCTACTCCTTCCCTCATCTCATTCTTCCATATCCCCCACTCTCAATTTCTCTCCCTTTTCTTTTTCTTCTTCATCTTTCTTCTTCTTCTCCCCTTTCCCCGATTTGTCCCCCATCTTAATATGTTCTTTTTCTTTTTCTTCTCCTTCCTTTCTTATAGATCTAAACAAATTTGTGCCTCAATCACCCTCTGTGCCTTCTTCTTCTTTTCTTCCTCATCTGTCTTCTCTTTCTTCTAGATCCGCGATGGTGGGAACTGGCGACTGTGGTTGGGGCTGGTGGCAACACAGCTGCTGGTGGAGATGGTGCGGTGGGAGGTGGTGGGCAGCAGAGGGTAGTGGGGTCTGGGGTGTCTGGTAGCCTGTAGGATAGTGGAGGGGGCAAAGCTAGGAGGGTATTTTGGACATTTTAATGCTATAGTCTGTTGGGTTTGTGGAGGCTTGGGCTTGTCTTGTTGGCCCGGCCCATGTGATGTAACCCTAGGTTGTTTTCCTCCTATATATTGAGCTTTGTACTTGTAATTCCGTGAGACACCACAAGTAAATAAGAAATTCCTCCTGTTGCAGCCGTGGATTAGGGAAACCGAACCACGTTAAATTCTTGTGTGTCGTTTGTGTTCCGTTTTCTCTCGTTTCTCGCAGATATTTGTGTGTGTTGTGTGTTTTATTCCCAACAAGTGGTATCAGAGCCTTGGTTGTTCAACACGAGAACACGAATAGCGAGGAGCTGTCACCTACGGTTTGCAGATCTGGATCGTTGGATTGTGGAGAAAGAGAAGTGTAGCGCCGCCTGTGCGAGAAGGAGAGATCTGCGCAGGTGGTCGCCACCGTTTGCGAGCCGCCGCTGCATCCCTTCTAGCGCCGCCGTTGACCTCTTGGATCGCGAGGCCGTGCAGAAGGCAGTCCAGCCGCAGAGCCGCCGCCAGGTTGAGGAGCCGCCGCGAAGCCACGCCGTTTCAGATCGCGCCGCCGCTGTCAGATCAGATCGTCGTCGCTGGGTCTTTCCACCGTCGCCGCGAGGATCGCCGCCGCCGTTTGCGTACAGACCGCCGCACACAGGAGCAGCGGCAGAAGGAGCCGCCGCCGCGTGGAGGTGCTGCCGCCCTCCGTCTAGCCGTCAGTCGCCGTCCGCGAGCAGGTGTCATCTGATCGCTCGCCGAGTCGTCGCCGTCGTCCAGAGCAGAACGCCGGAGAAGAGCGTAGTGCCATCGCCATCCCTGTTTTGCTCCGCTGAAGCAGTCGCCGAAACAAAGAAAAAAAGGGCTGGCCGGACGAAAAAAGAGAGAAGGCAGTGGTCACTGGTCAGCCTTTCTCCATTGATTTTTTGGGCCGTAGCATTTTTTTTGGTGGGTTGTTTTTGGGCTTGATTGATTGAAGTGGTGGACCTGTTTTTCTGACAAAAAATACCAAGATCTGAAATATTTGTACCGGGTATCTCGTCTAGCCGTTTGATATGGCAGAAGATGGGAAGTTCCGAATTGAGAAGTTCGATGGTACAGATTTCAGTTGGTGGAAGATGCAAATTGAAGATTTGCTGGTTCAGAAAGATTTGGACGTGGTTTTAGGTGACAAGCCAGAAAAGATGTCGGATGTAGATTGGGCAGGTTTGGATCGGAAAGCAATGTCCGTGATCCGTCTCTCGTTGACCAAGAATGTTGCGTTCAACATTCTGAAGGAGAAGACAGCGAAGGGAATTATGGAAGCGCTGTCTAATATGTACGAGAAGCCATCTGCAGCTAACAAAGTTTTTCTGATTAGAGAGCTGGTGAATACAAGGATGAGAGAAGGCACTT